AGACAGAGACAGAGACAGAGACAGAGACAGAGACAGAGACAGAGACAGAGACAGAGACATACACAGTGACAAACACGACTGTGGCTTCTATAACCCGTCCAGTCAACGTAAACTCGTCAGATAAATCTCCAGAAACCTTTGGCGGCTCAGAGGAGGAAATTTCGGTGTTCCGATCAGATGCACAAAGCCCAAAACTTTGACTAGCATTCTTAATTGCAGTTTCTTAACCTATAACAGCTGTTGCATGTGCGCGAGTAACATTTAGTTGAAACTCAAAATCCAAATGAAAAAAAAAGAAAGAAAAAGAAAAAATTGCCAACATTATGTGGGTACACTAGTACAATTATAAATTATTGAAAGAGTGAAACAGATGGTCTCTCTCCTGGAGAAAAAAAACTTTCCGGATTTTGTATATTTGAAGACGATGCTGGCGATTTATTCCCCTGAGTGAACCCCTGATCTCACTGTTGACTAGTGTGAGTTTTGCACTTATGGAAGATCTGTCCCAGAAGAATTTCTTTTCAAATATTGATCTGCAGAAACATCCCCACCCCAACCCCCTGCTCTAGTTCCCCCAGATGTGTTTTCAAAAACAGGGTACGACGTGTCCTTTTCAAGTTTAAACACCCCCGGAAATATTTCATAACGCATCATAAAACATGTACCAAAAGAAACAGAGCAGCAAAACAAAGGGTAGGTGCTCTGTGGGTTATAGAGGCAGCGAGCTGTATGGGAGCTTGTCAAGACGAGTGTTTGTTGGTGTAAGAGAGGCTGATATAGAGGCCACCGGCACCTCCACACAAAGAACTCGTCCGTTGTAACTGTGTACTGTCTATCTCCCTCCTCAAACGTGAGCAAACACTGGCAAGTGGCAAGCTTTCTGCAAAAGCCTGGACAAATATCTCGGCCCTCTCCAGACACGCGGAATGGTTCATTGTTTCACTCACGCTATCAATTTTTTATCGAATAAGTGCAATAGCGAAACGATTCCAAGTTTGAATATTTCATTGGCAAAATATAGCTTGCGTAAGAAATGATGCTGTAAAGTATAGAAAAGTATGGAAAGGGAGTGGGGGTGGGGTCAAAAAGGGTGAGGGGGGTGTTTGTCAAAGACTTGTGTTGTTTTGCAACGTCAGGAAAGCTTTTTTAATCACGAGTTTCTCTTCGTCTCTCTTTGATACCACCTGGATCCAAGATTCTTACGGGATTTGCAACACACATAGGTCAGGTAAGTGCCAAAGATTAACACCAAAAGGCGTTATTGGAGAGTAAAATTTGAAAAAAACGAGAAAGATCGCAGACGATGGAAACATAATTTGTTGAAGCGAGTAGACAGACGAAGACGTCTAGCAGCGACTGAGGGGTACAATGGTACAATGAGCGATCTCTTCTACTGTGACTCAAACACATTTTCCACTTCCTCCACACAACTCGACAAGTTTCCAACATGACGGAGATCTGTGAAGTACATGTATAATTTATTCCTCTTCGCATTTTAACTTGCTTGAACCCACATCGAGAGATCTGATCGACACTGTCTTTGTTGTTTCTTC